ACACAGAATTTCCACAGTCACCTTAACTTAAACACACGCTATAATTCACAACGATTCACGCACTTTACTTACCACTTGATTCAATCTGCAATTATTCTCCCGTCACTTTATTTGCCGGCTTATATACTATAAGAGCACGTGTCTAGCAAACGCTAGGACGTTCGACAGGTTCCTCGATCTTTCTAGAACTCTAGCACATGATCCCAGCGTCGCGCGACTTCCGCTGTCGTAACGTTTCCATTGATATTAAAGCTGCTATGAAAAATCAAAATATTATTTCATTTTCTAAGTAATATTGCAGAATTCGTTATCACTTAATTATGATTGCATAGTTCTGGATTAATAGTATGTCATATAGTAAGCAATTCTCTTTATTTTGTGCTCACTCTATCCCAGTGGCTGAGCAGTAAGTTTGAGGTCTATAACGCTAAAAATTAGGTTATTCGATACCAACAGTGACCGTAGTGCAGAGAGCCTACTTGTGTATCTGAGAGTTGAACAATAAACAAATGAATTTGTATTTTAATGTATTTAGTTAGTTATTTTTGGTCCCTGGTGTTGTAGGCTTTGCACGTGGGCCTCAACTATGCTAGCGTTGCCACTGGTTCATAGTTGTGTCTTTTAAAATAATATTTCAGATCAGTAACAACTACTTATAAATTAATCAAAAATAAAAGAAGTAACTTCGAGAAATTTATAGTGTACACACACACGCGCGCATATATATATATATATATATATATTCAATAACTATTTATAATATTACTCCCCATGAAATAATTTGCACAAAGAAGTCTAGGAAAAAGTAAAACATGGTTCAAAATTTATTTACAAATATCTACATTGCATTAGTAGCTTAAATTTCTTATTAGCAACCTTATAAAATAATTAATAAAAGGTAGAAATTAGGTTATGAGATCGTTTTATTTGATTATCATAAGAGTACTAAATGATCATCTTTACTTTCGTGATTATTTCACCATTTCGCACAGCTCTTTTCAAGAAAATGGCGGCTTCTCGTCAACACGTTTCGTGTGGTTTGGATCTTCATTGTGTGACAGATATCAGCAATTGTTTGTCTTTCGCCTCTAATTCAGGGTGAGAATATGTTTTACATATGTTTCAATCTATGTATGATCACTCTATGAAGCACTCCACATATGTGTTTGTGGGGAAAATAAGATTCATCATTTATTTTTCTTCGCTCTTATTCCTAACACTAGTATTAGTAAGTAAGTAACAGTAACACTAAACAGTGAGTAATAGTAATACTATTATAAATTATAATATGCATAGGGACCTACAAAATACAATCAGTGAATCACGCAGTAATGTGAAACTTGCGTATGTTTTGACTTTGGAATTGAATATTTCATCTTATGGGATATATTTCTTAATTTTCTTAAGAGGATTTTATCGAATAGATTATAAGTAAAATTAAACATACAAAGTAACTGTCTTCTCAGATAATATTTCATTTGTTTGGCGTAATGCTACATTGTGAATATTGTAATTTTGTAATGGTATTAGCAGCATTATTTTAACGGGAAGAACCAGTCATATGTACTTAAACTTAAATCTAGAGTAATAAAAGAACACTGTATCATGTGTAGCAGTTAGTTATTGAAAAACTCGAAATTATTAGATTAACTTGGCTGATTGTATTAAATCTCTTATTCTTAGTTATCTTTCTATCATTTTAGCATGGTGTATCTCTGAGCTTTACCAAGGAAAAATAATTCAATTCCATGACAATAACTGTAAAATTTGCCTTATTGCTAAATCCAGCCTAATATAATATGATGTACTTCTAGTACTATATAAGCCTATTTCATGTATTTGCATGAAATAATTATACCTCACTGTCTAACGAGGTGTTTGAAACTGACCATTCAATATTTTTTTCTGAATCTGAATGCTTAGGACATTTTGTTGTCTTCAGCAGTTTATAGGCAAAAACATTTAGATATTTTAATACTTATTGCACTATTACTTGGGAATGTTTATTTCACCAGTCCCTACTGAACTGAAATTACAGTTATAAAGTATTTATTTCCTTTGCTCCAGTTATTAGAAATTTTGTACTATATGTCATTTAAACACAATAATTAAAGGTAACGAGGGCCCTGTTGTTCCATTGAGGCTGTCCTATCCAGTTAAAAAAAAAAATGAAATCCCTCCTTGATCACTTAAATATGTTAAACTCTGTTGTTCCATTGAGGCTGTCCTATCCAGTCACTTAAATATGTTAAATTCCTGTAAACTTATTGCATCCACCACATTTGAAGTCAACTCATTCCAAAGGCCAACCACCCTCTTCAGGAAAGAAAACTGTCCAAGCTGAAGATGATTGTTACCCTCCTAAAATGTATATTCCCTTATCCTATCAATCTTGCCTTACTAATCTTTTGACATTCTTTAAAAAGGTTAATGTAGATGACGATACAGGTGTGGATGCAATGTATTTTGATTTTCAGATAGCATTTGACAAAGAGTCACAAAAGGCTTGTTAAAAAAGTTATCTCTGTAGATGTAGGGGAGCAGTTAGATAGAAAATTGGTTGGATGGAAGAAAGCAGAGGGTTGTTATAAATAAAGCTCAGTCAAAATGGCTTAATGTCATGAGTGGGATACCTCAGGGCTCAATGTTAGGGCCTTTACTCTTTTTGATTTACATCAGTGACATGATTAAACTGAAGAATGAATAAATACAGATGAATTTAATGACACAAATTTCTTTGAAATACAGAATTATAGGTTATTTTGTAGGGATACAGTGCTAAAGAGAAGAGGAGAGTGGCTTTATATGTAAAATGTGAGTTACATCCTGTTGAAGTTGAGGATATTAAATATAATACCAAGGAGATTTAATCCATTTGGGTTTCTGTTAGCAGATTTTTAAGGGAAAAAGCATTTAGTGGGAATTTGTTACAGACAACTAGATGATACTGATGAAACTAATGAGAAACTTTAAAGTGAGATTAAGGTTTCAGCTGTTAATGAGGTCATAATTGTGGGTGATTGTAATTTCAGACATATAGATTGGGAAATGTTAGCCATGCTATGAGGGAGAAACGTTTTTGCAAACTGTTTAAGGTGGTATTCACCAGTTAGTCAAGGAACCTACGAGAAACAATATTATTTTAGATTTATTGTTAACATCTAATATAGAAGTTGTTGAAAGGGTGGAAATTAAGGAACATCTGGGTGCAAGTGATCATTGCTTTATTAAGTTCGATGTTTTGCTGCATATAACGATTTTGATTACAAATTTTGAATGGATGCAACAAGAATTATCTGTTGTGAATTGGACAGCTAAGTTATTAGGAAACATTGATCAAATGTGCTAAAAAATTTAAATATTCAAGATAAACATTCCTTATAGAAAGAAAAGTGAAGCTGCAAGTAAAAAACTAGATTGACTCACAAATGGAATAAGGAATAAAATTAAAGAGAAACATCACAAGTTTAAGAAATTTAAATTGACTGGTATGATGGAAGACTTAAAAGATTATAGAACATAAAAAGGTTTGCTTAAAATATAAAAATTAACAGTAAGGATTTATTTAAATACATTAAAGGTAAACAAAATGTTAGAATGGGGGGTAGGACCTTTGAGAGATGCTCATATCTGATTATTATAAGATGGCTGGGTTATTAAATGCTACTTTTTATTAATGAAGATTTAAGCAATATTCCTCATCTTGAATAGTTGATAGATGGAAACAAGATGATCACATTAATTCTTAGCTTGTTAAGAAAAAATTGGTAAGTTTAAAGAACGATAAGGATGATGGGCCAGATAATATTTCCCCAAGGGCTTTGAAGGAGGTTAAGGATTGGATAGGTGAACCACTTGCTACTATTTTTTGTAAGTCCTTGAATAGTGGGCAGGTGCCAGAGGATTGAAAATTGGCTAATGTTACTACTATTTTTTTTTCAAGAGAGGTGAAAAAATTGTCCTAGTAATTATAGGCCTATTAGTCTTATATCAGTTGTAGAAAACAGGTTTGGAAAGTCTGATAAAAGATGCTTTGCAAAGTCATTTAACAAAGTTTAGACTTTTATTGGATAGTTAACATGGTTTTGCTGAGAGAAAATCTTGACTCACAAATCTTGGACATTTTGAAGAGGTTACTGCTTAGATAGATGAGGGTAAGTTTGTAGATTTGGTGTCTCTGTATTTTCAGAAAGCATTTAACAAGGTGCCACATAAAAGGCTTCTGAAAAAATCTCTATAGGTGTAGGGGGATGAGTTAGCTAATTGGATAGAAGAGTGGCTGGATTAAAGAAAGCAGATGGTTGTTATAAATGGAGTTCAGTCAAACTGGATTAATATCACAAGTCTTAGGACTTTTCTTCCATTTACATCAGTGACATAGAAGAAGGAATGGTCAATAAATTTCTTACATTTACTGATGATATTAAGTTCTTGAGTGTTGTTGGCTGTGAGGAGGATGCTGCTGCTTTACAAAATGTTTTACATCATTTAGTGAGTTGGGTGAATAAAGGGCAGATGAGTTTTAATTATAATAAATACAAGATAATGTATGTGGGTTATCATAATTTTAATTGTAAGTATAATTTGATTGAGAACTAATCTTAACAGTGTTATGAAAGAAAAGGATCTTAGTGTAGTGGTTGATCAGTCTTTTAAGACATCTGAGCAGTGTGCTGTTGCTAGTGGTAGGGCAAATAGGATTTTAAGTTGTATCTACAAAAATATTCAATACCAGTCTAAAGAGATTATAATTTCATTGTATAGGTCACTGGTTAGGCCACATTTGTAGTATTGTGTTCAGTCTTACCTTAGGAATGACATTGAATCAATGGAAAGAGTTCAAAGGAGAGCTACTAGAATGGTGCCTGGGATAAAGGGGTTGTCATAAGAT